ATATTAAAATGAGAGGTCAGAAAAGCAAAAATACAAAGCTGAAATATCACCATACAAGAAACTGGCTTACTTTCAAAGTCCAGAAATACATCGTATTTTTGAGGTGAGCAGCATGTAGACTCATCTCGAGCCAGAAGACTTAACAGCTTCCCCATGATAGAATATAGGGTTGAATTTGGAATCAGTAGTCCATAATTAGCAGTAGGATGCTAATAACAAAAGTGTGAGAATGTCGAATCAATTTTAAGAATGTTATTGAAAATTGGATATAGGTTAGACTTGGTTCATCAAGACAAGAGAACCCCACGCAACACTTTTCCCCAGGGATAATTTTCCGGTTTCAAAGAATACAATAAATGTAATCATAACGAATTCCAGGCCGTAGCCGGAGTGACGCTTCAGCAAAGGGCGCAAAGCTTAGCGCCTATTAAGGTTAATTGGTGCAGGAAGAGTGAGTCACAATGGTGGGTTCAAGGGATGGAAGTTACATCCACCTTTTTCACCTCTAAGAACTCTTCAAGTACATATACTCAAAACTTATGACAAGAGATCAATATTTAATATGAGGACAATTATAAAAATGTTCTACATCTGCCTTTGAGTGCGTCAACTAAAAGATTCAAATGGGGATAACGCCTACTCCTTTCCATTCTGTTCTGTGAGTCACTCTGTACGTACTTTCTAAATCTAAAAGAACTGTAGAATCTAAAGAAATGTCAAGGCAAATAATTGGAAATTCATTCATTCAAGAAAATGTTTTAAAAATGAAACTTCAAAGTACCTTGGCGTTCTTTTCCTAACGATCTACATTTGACAGGATAACGTTGCGTCGTCTGCAATCTTTTCCAAACTGACAAGTCTGCGCCTTCTACGAAATGTGGGGAACTGCTAGGAAGCTCTTCAAGACTGCGAATAAGGGACTTCCACCCGAGAAGTGGGTGATTTAAAACGAGAATACGCCATTGACAGTGGCACTGAGAGCGAGGGGGCGGGGGTGGGGGGCGCTTTAGGCCCCTCGCCGAATGATTAGTAGTGCAGAGGGGGCCGACCTCCGAGCCGCCCCACGTACACTGCAGAGTAAAACCCATTCATCGAGTCCTATCCTATTGGTGCAGCGCAAGCCGGGCCAACACTGGACTCGTCGGGACTCGTGGTCAGTCAAGTCAAGCCAAGTCATCAGTTTCTTACCCACCTTCCCTAAATAGAGGACAGTCATGCGGGTAAACAGGCGCGTGTTGCGTGTCCAGCCACTGTGCGGGCCGCGACCCTTCAACCTGCACTGGACACGTTGTCCTGACCACGGTCCTGACTGAGACCGACCCCTGTTCTGTACCGTACAGATTACTGTGCTAAGCAAGGTGCAGCGTATCTCGTTGAAAACTGTGCAGCTCTTTCCTGTACATACCGTGGCCCACATACCCCAGTCAATTTCGTAGTGATGCAGCCGTGTGGGTGGGCTTGCCCACCGTCTCTTACCACGCCACGGCGCCCCCAGGGCCCCTTGCGAGTAGGCAACCCTCCGACGCGCAGCTTCACACGAAACAGAGTACAACTAAGAAATTGCCCGCAGTATGTGATGTGAGCCACCCTGGGCGACATGTTAGCACATAGGTGTTCAGCAGCTGTGCGAGTCGCACCGGTTCTAGGGTCGTGCACAGCTGCTGGTCACCCTCGCCTAGATTCATGATTGCCCTGCGCAGGACTGCTCGCCCGTCACCACCACTCCCGCCTTCAACGGCGCCGCCTTCTTACCTCGCTCTTAAGGCGATGATGACCGCGCTGGCGAAACGTAAATCCGCTAGGCTGCGCCACTGTCGGCGGCCGGGCACCTGCTGCCAGCTCGCCTGCCTGCGAGGCGGCTGCCAGATGCAGCCGGCCGCTGTCATAGTTTGTCTCCCATGCAGTGCACCGAAAACGTAGTGGACAATATGGGTCGCGAAATGAGCTTTACTTTTCCGTCCGCTCGCCCTCCGTCCCCCTGTCTCAGGCCTG